CCCCAAAACCCCAAAACCCCAAAACCCCAAAACCCCTAACCAACTGAGAATGATTGATGTGGGACCTTAAAAGCTTTGATTCGCAAATATATTTATTAATGATGTTTTAAAGATGAAAATAAAATCTCTAGCCGTCTTTGGGGACATTTTCGTTTTGTTTATTCTCCTCCCTTGGGGTCAGGAGCTTGTTCTTACCGGAACTCCTCAGCGTATTACCTCGCAGGGTCAACTTAGCACTCTTTTCCACACTGAATTTCTACGGGATAATTCGAAAACCTTACACTTTTGGTTGAGGATCTATTGCTTTTTAGTTTATTTATCTAGAAATTATCATGAATTTGGTTCAAAGTATCACATACTGTATGATAATTAATTTTAACCGACATCCTTCGGTGCTTTTCAAATTTGAACTTGAACCTCTGCTTATATCCTTTAATGAGGTCTTCATTCTTCATAGGAGTATTTGGATCTGGTCTGTCCTAATTCGGTTGTGAACTAAACTTACTTTTAAATAAGTATCGCCTCCGAACATGAGGTAATTCTCGTCAAAGTCTAGAGGGCTGACTCCATCGCTGTTATCTTTCGGGCAGTTGACACTATGGGCGAGCAACTCGTCATGAGTGAAGGTTCCTGAAGAATTAGGAGGCAGATCCTTCAATCCTTCAGCCATGAAGGGATGGATCCTAGGTGTTGGTATGTCTATCGACAAATTCTTGTCCCTCTTCTTCTGTGACTTCGGCTTTCAATATTTTGAGATTGAAATATTAGGTTTTGATTGAGCTTTCTTTTCTTCCTGTGCTCTTATGAGGACCTTGGGGCTCCTCTTAGTATCAGAAGATTGGCTTGTTACACCTGTTGGATCTTTTCTAAACCTACAGATTATCAAATCTATACCTTCCATATACATCTGACTATCCTCATATTTCTTTGGCTTCGTTTCATAATAAAACGTAATAAGAGGAGAATTCTCATGTGTGAAGCTATGCTTCTTGAGAGATGTTTTGACATTATTCTTAATTTTCATCTTATTCTTTTTCCTAGTTTTGATCCCAAAAGTAAATCTCCGGTAGATAAAAGATTTTGTGTGGCTAGAGACTATGTTCACTGGCTTTCTCAGTTTAGTTTGATGCTTCTTTAGGTAGGCTCTTTGCCTCCTTGCTTGGAGGAGGAGCTATGCTTAGAGTGTCCCCACTCGCAACTCCAAGGATTTCCTTAGCCTTTGCCTTCGAGTCTATTTCAGGGAGCTTCAAATTGCTCTTATTTAGTCTTCAGCTTCTTCTAGATTATGCAGCATGAGGAGATTAGTAAGGATGTTTAGAAATTTTTCAGAAACATGGTTTATGAATTATTGAAGCTATTGAGAGATAGAAGTTTGTGGAGTTGTAGCTGGGTTTTTACAAGAGAATATATCATAATTTGAGGTTCTTACATTCTTGTTTTCTCCTTGGTTTGGGTAGAATAGAGACATTTTAGAATTATCTGCTTCAAATTTATTCTCTTCGTTCTTGTTATCATTTATTACATTTGGAGTCGAAATTGCTTCTGGATCTCATTCTTTTGCAAGGTTTTCGAATCCTTCATCAACTTCGATCTTGGGGTTTTTAGTATTGACCTTTCTTTCATTTGCTCCTGAGCATCAGATCATTCCAAAAAATCTCTTAATAAGAGGCTTATTTAGGAGGAAGTGTGATGCCAACAAAGTGTTTCTGGTCTCGTGATCGCATGACTGCAAAACTATCTATAAAAATAGAGTATTAACGATCTGAACCTCTAAGTAGGAATCATACCTCTAGGTTTTTTGTTGCGTTGACCTTGGCCAGGAGTTGAGAGGAAACCTCTTGAGGCATTAGCATCCCGGGTCCTTTCATCTGGCAACTTCTTATCGCTTGATCGCTTTACATTGATGTTCATTTTTATTATTTTTGTAATATTCATTTTAAACTTTCGAAATAGGGGTTTTGGGGTTTTGGGGTTTTGGGGTTTTGGGGTTTTGGGG